ATTGATTATTTTAGAACATTGCTACATTTTAACAAATAATTATCAATGTTTTAATAACAAATTATGATGATAAAAACATTCCAGCCTCTTCCTTTAATAACAGAAAAATTTCAAAAATACTTTACATTTTGAAGTGAAATTAAACTGCTTTTATTTACTAAGTTTGTCACATAGAATGTTTTCTTTAGAGAAAAGTCAAATGATACTTTTAAATATTCATGTATCAAAGGCAAAAACAAAAAAAAGTAACAAAAACAAAACAACCTATAAAATTACAAACCTTCTTTCTAGTCAGCTTGGGTTTCTTCTGCCTTTCTTCTAGTGACTTCAAATTCTCCTCCTCAGAGCTACTGCATATTTTCCGTGTTGCCTGTCTGGTTTGTCTTTTTGGTGGTTGCAAATTTATTCCAGCATCTGCTGTCCAATCAGAATATTCACTTGAAGAATCACTGTAAATAAATCAAAATTATGAATACCTAAGTAGGGAAAGTAGTAGTTTCAACTCACAATTGAAATATGATCATTTTGTAATCAAACATTATAAATGACAAGCTTGATTTTGTTCTAACCTAATAGAAAAAATATTACTATATAATTTTGATTATCTGAGTGATTTTAATGAAATACTTATTGGATAAAGTATAATGCTTAGTTTCCTATAAAAGGATTTAAAACCCCTGTCTAAAATCACATAAACTTCTTTAAAATAAAGATTTACCTTATTCCTGGAAATGGTAAAGTGGGGTTACTTAAAACTGAAATAAATATATATATATACAGTCATGTGTCACTTAACAAAGGTGATACATTCTGAGAAATACACTGTTAGGTGATTTCATTGTCATGCAAACATCACAGAGTGTACTCACACAAACCTAGATGGCACAGCCTACTACTACACACCTAGGCTATATAGTATAGCCTCACAGGCTATAAACCTGTACAGCATGTTACTGTACTGAATACTGTAGGCAACTGTAACACAATGGTATTTGTGTATCTAAGCATACCTAAACACTGCCCTCTATTCAACATAGTGCTAGAAGTCCTAGCCAGAGCAATCACACAAGAGAAGCAAATCAAGGTCATCCAAATGGGGTCAGAAGAGGTCAAACTATCTCTCTTTGCTGATGATATGATCTTATATCTAGAAAACCCCAAAGATTCTGCCGTAAGATTACTGGAATTGATAAACAAATTCAGGAAAGTCTCAGGTTACAAAATCTATGGACAGAAATCAGTAGCATTCCTATACACCAACAACAGTCAAATTGAGAATCAAATCAAAGTATCAATACCCTTCATACCAGCATCAAAGAAAATAAAGTACCTAGGAATATATTTAGCTAAGGAGGTAAAAGACTTCTACAGGGAGAACTATGAAACACTGAGGAAGGAAAGAGCAGAGGACGTAAACAGGTGGAAAACCATACCACGCTCATGAGTCGGCAGAATCAACATTGTTAAAATGTTTATACTACCCAAAGTGATATGCAGATTCAATGCAATCCCTATTAAAATGCCAACATCATTTTTCACAGTTACAGAAAAAATAATTCTACGCTTAGTATAGAACCAGAGAAGACCCTGTATAGCAAAAGCAATCTTAAGCAAAAAGAACACATTGGGAGGCATCAATTTACCAGACTTCAAGCTATACTACCAGGCTATGGTAACTAAAACAGCATGGTACCAGCACAAGAAAAGAGACATAGACCAATGGAACAGAACTGAGAACCAAGATATAAAACCATCTTCATATAGCCACCTAATCTTTAACAAAGCAGATAAAAACATACACAGGAGAAAAGAATCCTTATTCAATAAATGGTGCTAGGATAAATGGTGGATAGCCACACATAGAAGACTGAAACAGGATCTGCACCTTTCACCTCTCACAAAAGTCATCTCACAGTGGATAACAGACTTAAACTTAAGGTGTAAAACTATAAGAATTCTAGAAGAAAATGTTGGAAAAACTCTTATAGACATTGTCCTAGGCAAAGAATATATTAAGAAGACCCCCAAAGGCAATCACAGCAACAACAACAAAAAAATAAATGGGACCCAATCAAATTAAAAAGCTTCTGCACAGCCAAGGAAACTATCACGAGAACAAACAGACAACTTACAGAATGAGAGAAAATATTCGTATGTTACACATCTGATAAAGGGCTGATAACTGGAATCTATATAGAACTCAGGAAAATCAGCAAGAAAAAAATCAAACGACCCTATCAAAAAGTGGGCAAAGGACATGAACAGAAACTTTTGAAAAAAAGACAGACTTATTGCCAACAAACATATGAAAAAATGCTCAACATCTCTAATCATCAGGGAAATGCAAATCAAAAACACAATGAGATATCGCTTATCTCCAGTGAGAATGTCCTTTATCAAAAAGTCCCAAAACGATAAATGTTGGTGTGGATGTGGAGAGATAGGAACACTCATATACTGCTGGTGGGACTGCAAACTAGTACAACCTCTGTGGAAAGCAATATGGAGATACCTCAAAGAGATACAAGTAGAATTACCATTTGATCCAGCAATCCCATTACTTGGCATCTACCCAAAAGAACAAAAGATAGTCTATAAAAAAGACATTTTCACTAGAATGTTTGTAGCAGCACAATTCACAATCGCAAAGATGTGGAAACAACCCAAGTGCCCATCAATACATGAGTGAATTAATAACATGTGGTATATGTATACTATGGAGTTCTACTCAGCCAGAAAAACAGTGGCAATCGAGCACCTCTTGTATTATCCTGGATAGAGCTGGAACCCATTCTACTAAGTGAAGTATCCCACGAATGGAAAAATAAGCACCGCATGTACTCACCATCAAATTTTTTTTAACTGATCAACACTTAAGTGCACATATAGTAATAACATTCATCGGGTGTCGGGCAGATGGGAGGGGGAGGAGGGGATGAGTATATACACACCTAATGGGTGCGGTGTGCACCTTCTGGGGGATGGACACGCTTGAAGCTCTGACTCGGGTGGGGCAAGGGCAATATATGTAACCTAAACATTTGTACCCCC